CAGAGACAGTGGGGAAAGACGCCAGGTCAGGAAAGAGCAGGGGGAGGATCAGGCGACCCACTGAGGCAGCAGGAGGGGTAGAATAGCGCTGGATGACAGCATCGAGGTAGGCCTGGGCGGTAGTAATGGTTCTAAAGCGAGGGCGCTCAGGGGGGGGGAGGGCATTGCTAATGGCGAGCTGAGCAAGGGCATCGCGGGAAAGCCAGACAGAGCGGGCAAGGGCAGCGGCGGCAGTGGACTCGCGCTCAGCGGGCGTGGGATCAGCGGGCAGCACAGCCGGGGGGTCAGGGCAGGGGAGCATACCGTCTAGGTGTGCAGAAAGCGGGTGGCCGTCCTGCCGCTGACCAGTGAGGTGGCGGCGAAGGTCAGCCAACCACGCCTCGAACTCCAGAGGCTGACCCTTAGCATCAAAACGAAGCTCAGCAGCCATGAGGGGCAGTGGAGGACAGTGGAGTGCGGTGTAGTGCTGTGCAGTGCGGTGCAGGCGCGACGAGGGGCCGGGCGGGCGCGACGGGGCCGGGCGGCAGCGACGAGGCCGGGCGGCTGCGACGGGGCCGGGCGGCTGCGACGGGGCCGGGCGGCTGCGACGGGGCCGGGCGGCAGCGACAAGGCCGGGCGGCAGCGACGGGGCCGGGCAGGACACAGCAGGGCCGGGCGGGGGCGACGGGGCCGGGCGGGCGTGACGGGGCCGGGCAGGTGCGACAGGGGCCGGGCAGCTGCGACAGGGGCCGGGCGGGCGCCACGGGGCCGAGAGGCCGCGACAGGGCCGAGCTGGGGCAACGGGGCCGAGCAGGGGCGACGGGGCCGAGCAGGGGCGACGGGGCCGAGCAGGGGCGACGGGGCCCAGGAGGGGCTCGACGGGGCCCAGGAGGGGCACGACAGGAGCCCTGGAGGGGCGCGAAGGGGCCCAGGAGGGGCGCGACGGGGCCCAGGAGGGTGGCTACGGGGCCCAGGGAGGAGCGCGGCAGGGCCCAGGAGGGGCGCAACAGGCCCAGGAGGGGCGCAATGGGGGCCCAGGAGGGGCGCTACGGGCCCAGGAGGGGCACTACGGGCCTAGGAGGGGCGCAATGGGGGGGGGGCCCAGGAGGGGCGCGACGAGGCCCAGGAAGGGGCGCGACGGGCCTAGGGACGGTCGCGACGGGGCTAGGAGCACGACGGGGGCCCAGGAGGGGCGGTACGGGGCCCAGGGAGGGGCGCGATTGGGCCCAGGGAGGGGCGCGACGGGTCTAGGGAAAGGGGCGCGACGGGGCTAGGGACGGTCGCGACGGGGCTAGGAGCACGACGGGGCCCAGGAGGGGCGCTACGGGGGCCCAGGGAGGGGCGCGACGGGGCCCAGGGAGGGGCGCGACGGGTCTAGGATAGGGGCGCGACAGGTCTAGGGAGGGTCGCGACGGGGCTAGGAGCACGACGGGGCCCAGCTAGGGGGCGAGCGGAAGCGTTAGGGGGGGGGGGGGATCCTACCTACGCGTGATACCATATCAGAAAGAGAATTGAATAATAAGAGAGAGAGAGTACACAAACATATACCTAAATATTGTACTCTCTAGAAGGTGACCCTATACAGTCTATACAAACATGATAACTACACATGTTTGACAGAGCAGTGTGCGGAGAGTGAGGACGAGGGGTTTGACAGGGTGACTCAGAGGATGGCAGTTGGGCTCAAGGCGTATTCGGTTGAGTAGAGGAAGCAGGCAGTGGCGACGGAGGCGCACTTGGAGTAGAAGGTGGCAGAGCTGTGGCAGCAACTTCTGTCGGTTCCCAGCTGTTTGCAAAAGAGAACGGAACTGACGGCGGTAGAGTCGTTGCTGCGGGCATATCATGACAGGAAGTGGGACATGTTGCAGATGATGGCGGGTGTCAGGGCAGAACTGCACGGCGAGTCGCCCTCAGCGTACTTGTCTGCGAAGGTCCAGGGCAGGAAGGCAAAGACGTCGATGGGCAGGGTGGTGCACAACGGGAAGGTGCATACAGGGCTGACGGAGGTGGTCTCGACTGCCTCGGATTACTTCGCGGAAGTGTTTGGGACGGCGCTTGTGGAATCGGTCTTGGAAGGGTGGGAGACAGGTTCAGATAAGCAATTAGGGGAGGCGGATGCGGAAGCACTGGTATCGGAGTGGAAGGAGGCGGAGTTGAAGAGGGCCATTAAGGAGTTGGCGGCGGGGAAGTCGCCGGGACAGGATGGCTTGCCCAAGGAGCAGTTTGAAGAACAGTGGGACCTGCTGGGGAGGCATATGTTGAGGTTTGTTAAGGACTTTGAGGCTACTGCGCAGTTGTCGTCGGCGGTGAAGATGGCCGTAACGATTCTCTTGCACAAGAAAGGGGCGACAGACAATCTGCAGAATTACCGACCGATATCGCTGCTAAACACGACATACAAGGTGGTGGCAAATGTCCTAGCGAATAGGATGAAGCCGGTCCTATACAAAATCATCTCGGAAGGGCAGCATGGCTTCATACCTGGGCGGAGGTTGGCGGATGCGGTTGCGATTGTAGTGGTCGCGGATGTCATTGATGCGGCGAAGGCAGTGGACTTCAGAAAGCGTATGACTCGGTCAAACGGAGGTACCTCTTCACTACCATGCGGAAAATGGGGTTCCTGGATCGGTTTATCATGTGGGTTGAAGGTCTGCACTCAGGAGCGGCCACGAGAATCAGCCTGGATGGGAGAATGGGGGAACTGGTGGACATGCGGAAGGGGGTGAGGTCAGGGTGCTCCTTGGCTCCCTAGCTGTTCCTCTGTGCGGTAGAGCCTCTGTGTCAAGAGGTCGCAAGGCAGAAGTTGGGCTTAAGCAAGAGAGGTATAGGTCGGCTGGCGTACCTTGGGTATGCGGATGATACCATCTTGGTATTGAAGGGGAGAGAGCAGCTAGCGGAAGCAGAATTGGTGCTGGGTTTTATCGGACGGGGACTCGGGAGCGTCATGGGCGAAAGCTCGTGATAAGATAAGGGGCACGTTACAGAGATGGGAGGCGCAGCATTTGTCCACGGCGGCGAGGGTCTCAGCAAGTGGCGATGGCATTTCATGGCCATGTGAGGGTTTACAGTGGCACCATGTTACGGGCAGCAACGGGCAAGGAGAATAAGAGGGCTGACACGAGGTGGGGCCACGTGGCGAATGACGAGGCGAGAGTCATGGGCCGGATTTGTGGCACGAGATCGAAGCTTTTGCGCTGCAATGGTGGGTTCCTATCTATCTGGACGGACCCGATGGCAGCGCATCACCCACCGTAGAGGAGGTGGGGGCTCCGCTTGTATCGGGCCCTATACTACAGTCACGACTGAGGATGTCTTGCATTGTAACACACCTTATAGTGCTTGATTTTCCAAAAGAATGGAAAAAAAAAATCACTATTGCCGATTTTCCCGTCAACATACAGTACAGTAACTGCGCGTCACTGCACGAACCTGAAAACGGGGTTGCCGACAACTGTCAATTACTGACGGCAAAATCCTCCTAGGCTGTCAGATGCAAGTGGACTGTAAGGAATTTCCATTCCTTACTGAGTCGTACGCTAGCGCGTACACCCGACTTCCTCGACTCGTCATGTTCGGCCTCAATTATCGGCCCAACCCTTTCCCGAGTCGCGTCCGGCACTGTCGCCACATTGCCGAACCTACCCACATTCCGAGGTTATCGCCCTAGTACGCCAACTCCTATATAACCTCGTGCCTTCATTGCAATAGCGACCGTTGTATTCTCATGTTATAGTACATTGACACTTCCTATTTCATAACATGGACACAGAGTCCTAGTAACAGTAACCTAACAACTAAGAACCCCTCAAATTATGCCCGAAACGAGCTTAGGGTTTCTTTCCGCTGCCCGAAACGAGCTTAGGGTTGATGCCCCCCGAAGTACAACCACGTTCCCCCTGGGGTTTATATTTTTGGGCTGCCCTGAAACGATTTGATTGGCTTGAGTACAGATGAACACGGCGCCTGGCATACTTTGAGTGTCGGCGAAGTTGTCCCTCAGCTGAAACTTTCAGTTCACCTCGCCCCAACCTCTGATTCGCCGAGCGGGGTGCTTGACAGCACAGCGCGTAGGCCCCAGGCCCGGGGCCCCTGGGGCCCGGGGCCTACGCGCTGTGCTGTCAAGCACCCCGCTCGGCGAATCAGAGGTTGGGGCGAGGTGAACTGAAAGTTTCAGCTGAGGGACAACTTCGCCGACACTCAAAGTATGCCAGGCGCCGTGTTCATCTGTACTCAAGCCAATCAAATCGTTTCAGGGCAGCCCAAAAATATAAACCCCAGGGGGAACGTGGTTGTACTTCGGGGGGCATCAACCCTAAGCTCGTTTCGGGCAGCGGAAAGAAACCCTAAGCTCGTTTCGGGCATAATTTGAGGGGTTCTTAGTTGTTAGGTTACTGTTACTAGGACTCTGTGTCCATGTTATGAAATAGGAAGTGTCAATGTACTATAACATGAGAATACAACGGTCGCTATTGCAATGAAGGCACGAGGTTATATAGGAGTTGGCGTACTAGGGCGATAACCTCGGAATGTGGGTAGGTTCGGCAATGTGGCGACAGTGCCGGACGCGACTCGGGAAAGGGTTGGGCCGATAATTGAGGCCGAACATGACGAGTCGAGGAAGTCGGGTGTACGCGCTAGCGTACGACTCAGTAAGGAATGGAAATTCCTTACAGTCCACTTGCATCTGACAGCCTAGGAGGATTTTGCCGTCAGTAATTGACAGTTGTCGGCAACCCCGTTTTCAGGTTCGTGCAGTGACGCGCAGTTACTGTACTGTATGTTGACGGGAAAATCGGCAAGGAGCAAACTCCAGACCAGACTGAGACGCGCGCGGGAATCCCCCCCTTCTTGCGCACACCAGTTCGTCCGCCACCCCTGGAGTTTCCGCTCATTGGTCCGATCTCCTCCACTTCCGTCCGCCCTTCCCGACTGCTCATGACCTCGCAGGTACAGCCTGATCTGAAGGAATTTCGGTGTTCACAACTATACAAAATTACATTTCCTTTTCTTATCTTTGTTCTGTGCTGTACTGTTTTGTTCTGGAATCTAGGCTGCACTGAATTGGAATCTCAGCTGCAGCATTCTTCCATTTTCACCTAGGTTCTGCTCGATCTGGTTACCATGTCGGCCAGCAATCCCTAGAACGCAGCTCTCTCGCCTCGCGCGGTACACGCGATTCTAGGTGGACTTGCGATCCTAGAGGCTGTCGCTCTCAATACCTGCAGCGTAATCCATCCTTCAGGATCCGTTTCAGCCGGCTCGGCCTGCCTGTCGCTCCTCTTAACGTTCATCCTTCCGCAGATGTATTCCTGATGCGATCTCATCATTACGATCTTGGGACTAACACATCCGGAATCTGAAAGCCCTTCAGTTAAATATAGGCTCTCGAGCTTCGGTGAAGTTGTGTCTTACAAAAGCCGGTGGCATCACTGGCTCGTCGTTGGCTTAGGTTTCGCCGAACATTAAACAGACAGCTGGGGAGCGGGCTCTGCCCGCCGTCCGCCGCGAACCATGCCTGTGGCGGCGTCGGCGATCTATTTCCTTAACTTGAGAGGGGACATTCTCATCAACCGGCTCTACCGAGATGACGTCGGGTGAGTGCCTATCGCGTGGCAGCGGTTAATGTTCGGGGAGCCAGGCAGGAACCCGCACCTGCGTCGAGGTTCATCCATAAAATCGACGTGGCTTTGAAAACGCTGTCTTTTAGCACTCCAATGAAAACTCTAGAAAATCTTATTCTCCACAAATTCGAAGGGATTTCGTCGCGTCGGTTGGTCGTTACAATTTTCCAGGGCCTGGCCTCGGGAGCTGGTGAACGGCATGCATGTTAGATCGGTCCAGGCGGATTTTGCTGCTGTCGCTTCTATGGCTGCTCCTCGTTACCTTGCTTGTATCCACGTGTGCTCTTGACCCATCTCGGCATCACCCCGTCATTCATAAGCGAGTCTGAACGGATATTTTTTAGGATGACTTCTTTTGAGATGTTCACCTGTCCAGCCGTTCACCATCCCCTTACCACGGGAAGCTCCTGCCTCTTTCCCTCCGTTCCTCCCTTCCTGCGTCTCTCCTTCCCTCCTCTCCCTCCTCTCCCTCCTCTCCCTCCTCTCCCTCCTCTCCCTCCTCTCCCTCCTCTCCCTCCTCCCCTTCTTCTCCCACCGTCTCCCGTCGCCCGCGCGTGCGGTCAGCGGCAACATGGTGGACGCGTTCCGCATGCAGATCCTGCAGACCAAGGACCTGGGCACGTGCCCGGTGAGGCAGATGGGCAACTGCTCGTTCATGTACATGCGCATCAGCAACGTGTACATCGTCATCGTCGTCAACAGCAACGCCAACGCCGCGCTCGCCTTCAAGTTCATCGTCGAGGTGCGTTGCTTGCCGTGCGTTGCCGTGCGGTGCTGTGCGTTGGTTGCCGTACGTCGCTCTGCGTCGGGAGTGACGGTGTGTGGGGGGCCGGGGGAAAGGGGGAGTGATCGGAGATTGAAGAGCGGGGAAGGGAAGCGGCGGAGGGCGGAAGACAGGGAGAAGGGGTGGTTGTTGGGAGGCAACGCTCAGGTTCCCCCTGCCTTCCTTGCTCCGTGGTGCGTTGCCCCCCCCCCCTTTCGCCGGCTGTCACAATCCACCCGTTCCTGCAGGCCGTGGCTTTGTTCAAGTCGTATTTCGGGGGCACGTTCGACGAGGACTCCATCCGCAACAACTTCGTGCTCATCTACGAGCTGCTGGATGGTACGCCTTGGTTCCTTGGATATAGGTATGGCGGACGAGTCGTGACGTGCATGCATGCATGTGTGCCACCGCTCTTGCTTCCGTTGTGTCCCCTCTGTTGTCAGCGTCAGCGCCCGCCGTTTTTAGCCCGCGTGGTCCGTCCTGCGCCTATGTCCCGCTCAATATGGCGTTTCGCTTCCATGCATGCTCATACTTGGTGTAAGTAGTTTCGTTTTGAGTCGACTCAAAACGAATCTACTTACATTTGACGTTTCGCTTCCGTGTATGCTCATGCTTCTGTGCGCGCGCATGTGGCGTATGCGCATGCATGTGTGTGCGTTTGTGTGAGTGTGCGCGTATGTGTGCACGTGTTTTGTGCATGCATTTGTGTATGTGTGCATGTGTTTGTGCATGCATGTGTGTATGTGTGCATGTGTGTATGTGTGCATGTGTGCATGTGTGCATGTGTGTATGTGTGCATGTGCACATGTGTGCATGTGTGCATGTGTGCCTGTGTGTGTGAGAGCCCGAATCCGTCCTGGTACCACAGAGATTATGGACTTCGGCTTTCCTCAGAATCTATCTCCGGAGATCGTCAAGCTCTACATCACACAAGAGGGAGTCAGGTCGCCCTTCTCTAAGGTCGGTCTCACGTCCTAGATCACCCGTTCGCAAGTTTGTTCTTTCATTCTTTGCCCGTATGCGTTGCCGTCATTGTCTCCTGGATCTCTGGCTGCTAACCCTTTCCTCCCCCTTGCCATTTTCTCTCCCACTTTTGGTTCCTTTACGGTGTGTCATTCTCGCCTATACCTGTCCCTGTACCTGCGCCCGTGCCCATGCCCGTGCCCGTGCCCGTGCCCGTGCCTTTGCGCGAGCAGGAGAAGGAGGTGAGGCCTCCCGCGAATGCGACGCTGCAAGTGACGGGCGCTGTGGGGTGGCGGAGAGAAGGGCTCGTGTACAAGAAGAACGAGGTGCGCCCCTGCTGCTGCTGCTGCTGCTGCTGCTGCTCTCTCACCACCACAGCACCTCCTTGCTCCACCCATTTTGGCTCCTCATTTAGTACGCCTTGCCCATGCCTTTCCCCCCTCCCCTTTTCCCCCGATTACCACCCCCTCCTCTCTCTCCCTCCCTCCCTGCCCTCCTCCTCCCCCCCCCTCCTTCCCCCCTCTTTTGGGCCTTCATTCCTCGGGTTTCTCTGCCTATTCCTACCTTTTTTCGGTCGCGCGCCACTTCTCTGGTTCCAGCCTTACGTGCTATGTACGCACACGCCTGCGTGCGCGTGCTCTTCCCTGTGCGTGTGTGTGTGCGTGTGGGTGGGTGTGTGGGCGTGTGTGTGGGCGCGTGTGTGGGCGCGGGTGGGTGTGCGTGCGTGTGTGTCTGTTTGTCTGTGTGTGTGTGCGCGCGCGTGCCCCTCTCCTTCACCCCTTCCCCTTGCGGGCTTCAGGTCTTTCTGGACATCGTGGAGAGTGTCAACCTCCTCATGTCGCAAAAAGGTGTGCCCCTCGCTTGTCCCTTCCCATCGCCCAAGTCGCTGTTGCTCTGCTCATGTGGCTCCCATCACTTGTCTCGCCTCTTCAGATTTTTCCCTTGCCCTTCCATCACCATACAGAGGCGCCTTCTCCTCTCCCCTACCCCACACCTCCTTCCCCCGTGACTCCGCTCCGCCCCCCCCCCCCCCCCCCCCCCAGGCACCATTCTGCGGTGTGACGTGACGGGCAAGGTGCTGATGAAGTGCTTCCTCTCGGGCATGCCGGATCTCAAGCTCGGGCTCAACGACAAGATCGGGCTTGAGAACGAGGCGCAGATGCGCGCACGCCCTGCCAGGAGGTGCGGAAGGAGAAGGGGGGGGAGGGGGAGGGAAGGACGGAGGTGGGAATGGAGGGGGGAAGAGTGGGCTGTGAACAGGGGGAGATTATTAGTGGACAGGGGTAAGGAATAAGCAGGGATGAGAGTTGATTGGGAGTGAGAGGAGAGGGAATGTTGTGGGTCATTTGTTGCTTTGCCAGCGGAGCCAGTGATACTCCACCATCACGTCAACCATGAGTTAGCTGCCTCTTGTTTTCGACATTCCTCTCACCCCTCAGCTCCCCGCCCCCCCGTACCCCCCCCCCAAATCCCAGCGGCTGGACCATTGAGCTGGACGAGGTGGTGTTCCACCAGTGCGTCAACCTACTGAATGCTGCCCCTTGCTCCTCTCACACCCTCAACCCCCCGTACTCACTCTCGCCCCACCCTTCCCCCCAACTCCAGCGGCAAGACCATCGAGCTGGACGACGTGGTGTTCCACCAGTGCGTCAACCTCGCGCGCTTCAACACCGAGAAGACCGTCAGCTTCGTGCCGCCTGACGGGGAGTTCGAGCTCATGAAGTGAGCTTGAGGGGGGGGGGTGCAAGGGTATCAGTAGTAGTGGGGTGGAGAGATGGGAGGAGGAGGGGTGAGGGTGCTGGGGGGGTGGGGTGAACGGGAGGAAGGGGACTGTGGAAGAGAGAGCTTTTCTTTGGCTGTGCAAGGGGATGCGGTGTGCGTGTGCGCTCTTCCTTCCTGCTCGTCTCGTCCCATTCCTTCTATCTACGGCCACCCAATCTCCCATCTCCAGTCTCTCATCTCCTGATGCCTGCTGTTCTCCTTCTGTCTTCGTCCACTCCCCACCCCCACCCCCCCCCCCCCCCCCCTCCAACCCTTCCCAATGCGTGGCGTGCATGTGGGGCGTGGGGGCACCAGGTACCGCATCACGGAGGGCATCAACCTGCCCTTCCGCGTGCTGCCTTTGATCAAGGAGCTGGGGCGAACGCGCTTCGAAGTCAATGTCAAGGTGTGCTTAAAGCCGTTGGCCCAAATTGTTAAACCTTATAGATCTTGCACCCTACAAAACTGAGAAGAACTACAGTCGACAGGACCGGAGAATCAGAGTCACGTGAAACATTTGGGTTTCGTCCCGTCGAGGTTGGGCGCAACCAATCAGAATTGGGGTTGGGCGAAACCAATCGACGGTTTAGAATTTACCTAGCGAAATTGTGGGAAACGATTAGATTGACAGCGACACGATCATTGACCCAAGGCTGTTGTGCAGCAAAAGTCCCAAATTGATCTCGGCTCTTTCAACTTTCTGCTGCAGCACCTCCGCTGACATGAACAACTTGGCTTGTGAGTGGCGTTTTCAGGATTAATAAAGTTGACGCCAAATTTCTGCAATTTGGGCCAACGGCTTTAACCAGCGATGCTCTACATACATCCCCATCGAATCTCCATGCCCAAACGCTGAATGCTGAACGCTGAACGCTGCACGCTGCACTAGTGCTGCCTGTCCCTTCCCCCACCTCTACATTCTCCATCGTCCCCCCCTCCGTCCGTTCCTTCCCATGCGATCCCGACCATGCCATTCCCTCATGCCAACCCCTGCCCGTGCACACCCTCTCTTTCCCACCCCCCCTCCTGGCGCGAGAGCAGGTGAAGAGTGTGTTTGGCGCCAAGATGTTTGCGCTGAACGTGATTGTGAAGGTGCCCGTGCCCAAGCACACTGCCAAGGCCACTCTGAGCGTCACGTCCGGCCGGGCCAAGTACAACGCCGCTGTGGACGCCATTGTGTGGAAGTGAGTCCGCCTTTTCTCTTGCACTTGGTCGTGGCCTTGGTCTGTTGTCTCTCACTACGTGTGCATATTGGCCTTTGCTCATGCACGCCACTGTGCACACCATAGTGTGGAAGTGAGCTGGCCTTTTTTCTGGCACTTAGTCTTTCGTCTCTCACTGTCTGGAAGTGAGTCGGTGTGCTCTCAATACAAGTGTGTGTATTGGCTCGGTTAGTAAGCTGTCAGGGTGTCATTCTTCCATCCTCCTTGTCTGGGAGCTTCTCTTCGAATCCCCTCCCCTCACACCATTCTGCTTGCTAGGTCGTCTTTTGAAGAACCTTCCCTCCCACCCCTCCTTCCCTTCCTTCCTCCCTCCCTCCCCACCTCCCTCCATCCCTTTGCCTTTCCCAATCCCTGGAATACCTCTGGGCAGAATAAAGAAGTTTCCCGGGCAGACAGAGCTGAGCATGAGTGCGGAGGTGGAGCTGATATCCACGATGGTGGACAAGAAGCAGGGCACGCGCCCTCCCATTCAGATGGAGTTCCAGGTGCGCTGCAAGCACCACTGCCTGCCAGGTGCGCTGCAAGCACCACTGCCTGCCAGGTGCGCTGCAAGCACCACTGCCTGCCAGGTGCGCTGCAAGCACCACTGCCTGCCAGGTGCGCCACAAGCACCACTGCCTGCCAGGTGCACTGCAAGCACCACTGCCTGCCAGGTGCGCTGCAAGCACCACTGCCTGCCAGGTGCGCTGCAAGCACCACTGCCTGCCAGGTGCGCTGCAAGCACCACTGCCTGCCAGGTGCGCCACAAGCACCACTGCCTGCCAGGTGCGCCACAAGCACCACTGCCTGCCAGGTGCGCCACAAGCACCACTGCCTGCCAGGTGCGCCACAAGCACCACTGCCTGCCAGGTGCGCTGCAAGCACCACTGCCTGCCAGGTGCGCTGCAAGCACCACTGCCTGCCAGGTGCGCCACAAGCACCACTGCCTGCCAGGTGCGCTGCAAGCACCACTGCCTGCCAGGTGCGCTGCAAGCACCACTGCCTGCCAGGTGCGCTGCAAGCACCACTGCCTGCCAGGGGCGCCACAAGCACCACTACCTGCCAGGTGCGCCACAAGCACCACTGCCTGCCAGGTGCGCCACAAGCACCACTGCCTGCCAGGTGCGCCACAAGCACCACTGCCTGCCAGGTGCGCCACAAGCACCACTGCCTGCCAGGTGCGCTGCAAGCACCACTGCCTGCCAGGTGCGCTGCAAGCACCACTGCCTGCCAGGTGCGCCACAAGCACCACTGCCTGCCAGGTGCGCTGCAAGCACCACTGCCTGCCAGGTGCGCTGCAAGCACCACTGCCTGCCAGGTGCGCTGCAAGCACCACTGCCTGCCAGGGGCGCCACAAGCACCACTACCTGCCAGGTGCGCCACAAGCACCACTGCCTGCCAGGTGCGCCACAAGCACCACTGCCTGCCAGGTGCGCTGCAAGCACCACTGCCTGCCAGGTGCGCTGCAAGCACCACTGCCTGCCAGGTGCGCTACAAGCACCACTGCCTGCCAGGTGCGCCACGAGCACCACTGCAAGCCAAGTGAATTCACTCCACGCGTGTAGCAGCAGGCAGGAGGGGAGTTAGAAGCACCTTGGATTGTATGCAGTGGTTGGAGGATTCCTGGGCTGTATCTTGGGTTGGATGCAATTCGTCTGTGTTTCTCAACCAATTACTGCTGTTGTGCATTGCTCCCATGTCATTATCTATTCCAGGTACCCATGTTCACTGCTTCAGGCCTACGAGTGCGCTTCCTCAAGGTACCCTCCTCCCTTCTTTTGCAGCAGCTTCTCTCACAATTCCTTGGGCTTATCCCGTGTGTTTGATTGAGTTGAGTATCTCTTTTAATGGTGCAGTTACCCTGTCTGTCTTCCTCATCCTCTTCCATGCTGCTCTATTCTCCTGGCCTTGTTTGCCAACTCACCTCTGGTGCCTGTGCCAGGTGTGGGAGAAGAGTGGTTACAGCACAGTGGAGTGGGTGCGTTACATCACACGTGCAGGGGCCTATGAAATCCGCTGCTGAGTTTCCTTGGATTGGATGATGTCGTCAATCAGAACCATGTACCGGAAGCTTCAGTTGCCACCTTGCCACAGTTTCTTTCTGATACAACACACAGTAGAGAGATTGAGGTGTTCGTACGTTTGTAATTGTAGTGCTAATATACTAGACATATATTAGGCACATGTGGTCACAACTTTCCTGATTAGTATTATTGAGATAGTGCAGTTTCCGTGCAGAGTGCGTGTAGAACTCTGCTCTGCCCGGAATCGCTAGCGATATTCATGCACCCCAGGTTTCCAGGCTTGTTTCGTTCGGAGCGCCCCTCTGCCATTCCGTGTGGTAAGTGGTTCAAGGTAGAGGCAGCTTCTCGGGATTCGCGAAGGATGGAGTGATACACCCTGAAGGTTGCACTTTGAGCTGATTGGTCGGTCAACTATTTGAAGTGTCTACGATTGGCACGAAAATACCATGTTGAGCCTTCTGATTCGCTCTCACTTGAGCAAGCACGTCACGTGAGTAGCACACGCGTGTCGCCCGAGTGGCTCAAGTCCCTTGGTAACGTTTCTGAGGGAAAACTCCATCGATATTCGGCGCCGACGTGGGGAATCTAGGATTCATGCAATCAACGCCTGCCACATGTGCTCAAGCTCGAGCCGCCCCTCGTCACTGTCTCGTCAGGGCCTGAAGCAAGCTGTTGCTTGTCTTCTCGCAGCTAGCTGTAAGCGTCGCTTGCGTGGCGACGTTGGGCAACTCCGAGGCGGAAGTAATGGCCAATCAAAGCTAATCCCGAGCCACCAAGCCACCTGCGTGTACCCCGACCCACGCCCTAGGCAGCCTTCCCCGCGCAGTCGCACACTGCCCAAGTCAAACAATTCCCTAGGCACGGCGTGCCTCCCCGTCCCAGCCTGCCGAACTCTCTAGACGCAACCAGCGGGACTGGCGCTGCTCTGGTCTCCATTCTCTCGGTTCGGGCTCGCAAGCCATTTGCTCCTCTTGAATCGACATTGGGAGTCTTCGGGGTTCTTCCTCGCTACAATTTGCCGCTAACCCCAAAGAGCTTACCTCCGCAGCACACACAACCTTGGACCGTGAAACGAAGGGACTGACTGACCACATCCCCAGGTATCGTGGGCCTCGGCAAGCTCTAGAACGAGATTTGCGCGATCACAACTCCACCTCTGATTCGTTTCTCCGATCGCAGTCGAGTCTCGTTCGCTCTGCTGGGGCCACCAACATCCCGCCATCCCGTGGTTGCTGGGGAGGGGGCCACGAGCGGCTCAGTGTTTCTCGCCATTGGTTTCTTCGATCCCCTTCTGTGCGGGACTCTGCCGCATGTACACTAACCCGAACTGAAACACCGATGCCGCTGTGCTCTGGCAAAATCTCTCTCATCGGGCTCGCTCTTTCTCCTGATCTTTCGTATTTCTGCGAGCTCGTCCAGGCAAGACGGGGTCTTTGCCCTGTTTCCGCTCGCCGGTCGCTGCTCACGGGGAGATTGTAACAGAAGCAGCGATCACTGCTCACGCTCAGTTGCGGTCACTGCTCTCGGTTCTTGGCCGCCTGTGCCGCTGCTGTCCAAGAACTGCGCAGTTGCTCAGTCTCTGGCTATTGCATCCTCCAAGGCATACCATTCCGTGCCGAAATCGGCTGCACTAACGCCTTGTAACGCCGTGAAGCGACGCGCCTCGTAACGCGAACGAGCGGCATCTCTTTCCTGATTATCATTCGGCGACACGGACGACCAGATTCGCACCCTGGCAGAAGCCACTGCTACTACCCGCTGACCTCCAAGAACCGGCGGTTCATTCCGTCAAACCCACTGCAGCATGGGTGACGTCTGCCATCTCCCACCGCCGGGCGAAACGCTCGTCCTTGCTCGCTCCGCTGCTCCTTCCGCGCGGGGGCCTCTCATCCACGCATCTCCCCCTCCCCCCGCCTCTGCGCTCGTCCGCCTCTTCTCCTCCTGCCTCGCCTGCGCGCCCTGGATTTCCGATGCCATCGCCGCCACCGGCGGAGGGAAATTGCCCGCCGGCAGAAATGGCAACAAGCTGACGTGGAGGGATCCTATCGATGACGTGGAGCACGTGGAGGAGGGAGGAGCTGCGCGAGTTGAAGCGGAAATGGCGGAGCGGGGTAAGGGTGGGATTATCAGCAAGCCCTTAAGCCAGAACGGCGGCGGCGGCGGCGGCGGCGGGGGCAGCGGTGGCGGCTCTCCAAGCGACGCCGTCGCCGTTGGCGGCATGTCGCGCGGGTGGTCGAACGACGACGTGACGGCTCTCCCGATGGACATGCAGCCTCGTAGCGGCGGCGGCGGCAACGTGGCGAGCAAGGGCGCGAACGGCGTGGTGGCGGGTATGCAGCTGAAGTCGCCATCGGACCAGGCGCAGTGGCGCGCCGGCAGCCTGAGACACCTCTTCTCGCTCGTGACGCCCGGGTGAGCTGAGCTGCACGCTGGGGTCTGGGTTTGCGCGGTGAGTGAGGAGATTTGCGAGTGGGAATCTCGGGAGTTTGGGATGGGAATTTGGGAAAGGGACGGGAGTATGGGAGTATGGCTTGAGGGGATTAACCCGCGCGTGATACGCGCACGGCAAGGTAACCCGACAGAGTAGTGTTGAAATCTACCGCTCTCGAAAAAACTCAAGCACCACACTTTACCGGATTTGGAAATGCTTGCAATCAATCACTTGACGGGTGCCAGATTGACACTGCATGCCCAGTCGCTATTGGGTGGAATACCCATGCTCCAGTCGCCGGAAAGCTATCTCAGTTGGCATCGTCATTGCTCGCTGCTGATTCTACTGCGTCCCGCTACTCCGTCCCCACCGCACTTTCCCCCTTCCCCTTCGTGGCTTCCGTTCCCTCTACCCTCATCACCTCTCCTCTCCCCTCCCCATGTTCTCTCCTCTCCCCATCATGTCACGTCCCGCGTGCCCTCCTCCGCCTCGCCCCGCGTGCCCTCCTCCGCCTCGCCCCTCGTGCCCTCCTCCGCCTCGCCCCTCGTGCTGGCAGCATGCTGGAGGATTCGGAGCTGCCGCCCGGGCGGCGGGCCATAGTGGACCACAGCATGCGCGTGCTGCGGGAGAACGACCTGGGCGGCTACACCATCCCCACGCAGGGGCTCTACCCTTTCCAGGTCCGCCCGCCGGTGTGGGAACGTGGGTTCCATTGTGCGTTCGGACGTCTTGGAAGTGATGTTTTTGTTTCATGCGCTCGTCGTGCCTGGCTCGTCGTGCCTGGCTCATTGTTCTCTCCTCCCCGCTCTGCATCACGCCCCATTCCTGCATCGTCCCCACCCCCTTCCCCAACCCCCTTACCCGCTCTCCCTCCATCCTCCCCTTCCTTCCCCTCACTGCCCCCTACCCCCCCCCCCCCCCCCGTCCCCCTCCACACCCCCCATCCGCAGTGGAACTGGGACAGCGCCATAGTGGCGGCAGGCTGGGCGGTATTCGACGAGCCGCGCGCGTGGCAGGAGATCGAGATGCTCATGTCGGGGCAGTGGGCGGACGGCATGGTGCCCTCCATCCTTTTTCACCGCCCCACCGACTCCTACTTCCCCGGCCCGGAGATCTGGGGCAGCAAGGAGCGCCCCAGCCCGTCCACGGGGATCACGCAGCCGCCTGTGGCGACGCTGTCGGTGAGGTTCTTGTTCGAGCACGCAGTGGATAAGGACTTGGCGAAGGAGAAGATGGAGCTGCTGTTTCCGAAGCTGCTCGCGTGGCACCGCTGGTGGTACAAGGTGCGTGCTGCCGCTGGTGGTACAAGGTGCGTGCTGCCGCTGGTGGTACAAGGTGCGTGCTGCTGCTTGTGGGAGCGCTTGGGATGCAATCTTTTTGCTGTGGCTGAATGGATAAGGACGAGGTTCTGTGGGGTTCTGATGGTTCTGGTGTAGTGTGCCTCACAACCCTTCAGCAGCAGCTCCTGTGAGTGTCTGGAAATTTGAAAGTGTTCATAAAACATATCCGAAGAAACCTGCCAGAAATCCCATAAATCCCAGAATGCCCAGCAACACCCTGGGCATTACAGCCCCTCGAAACTTCCCAGCTGCCTGAACTGTGGCACTGTGTACCGTGCATCCATATCCTTGCATTCTGTCCCAAATGCGTGACCCCCTGGCCACGGGCGTGGTGGCAATCCTGCTCCCGTGGACGAGCGGCATGGACAACAGGCCGGCGTCGGATTACGCAATGCAGAACCGTGTGTGCCATCTTAACTTGCGGCTCCCTGTCACATCCCTGTCCTGGGCCGTCGTTTGCCCGCTGGCCCCCACTCCAGGCGCGTGATCCGCTGGGCACGGGCGTGGTGGCGATTCTCCACCCGTGGGAGAGCGGCATGGACAACAGCCCGGCGTGGGACGAGGCGATGCAATTCCCCATCATGGACCTGCCGCCGTACCAGCGCCGCGACCTCACGCACGTTGACGCCGCCATGCGCCCCGACAAGGCCACCTACGACCGATACCTCACCCTGCTCTACACGTACGTGGGTTGCCCAGCCGCTTTAAGAGCGTGCGCTCCACCCCCAAGCCCAAGGTCTCGTGCCCCCTGCTCCGCGCCTCTTCCATTCCACCTTTCTCTTCTCCCCCTTGAAAATCACCCAACTTCCCTCCTCCCCCCCCCCTCCCGCCCTCCCTCCCCCCCTCCTCCTCGCCCCCCTTCCCTCTCGTCTGTTCAAACGCCCAGCCATCTGGCCCTACTCTCCAATTCCCAACATGGTAACACCCCCACCCCGCGCATCCCCCCTTACAACTCCCCCCCCAAAACCCCAGCTTCAAGAACACCAATTTCTACGACTCGGCGCGGCTGTACCACATGTCGCCCTTGTCTTGAGGCACCTCAAAACCAAACTCTCCCTCAACCCCCCTTCTTCCCCCCCGCCAGGTTCAAGAACACCAACTTCTACGACTCGGCGCGGCTGTACCACATCTCGCCCTTCCGCGTGACGGACCTGTGCATCAACTCCATCCTGCTGCGTGCCAACCGCGACCTGCGCTGGCTCGCGCTCAAGCTGGGCCGCGAGGACGTGGCGGCGGAGATCGAGGGGTGGCTGGACGCGGGCTTCCGGGGCTTCGAGACGCTGTGGGACGAGCGGGACGGCATCTTCAAGTGCAAGGACCAGCTCACTGGCAAACTGCTGGACGCTCGCACATCCGCGGGCTTCCTGCCGCTCTTCGCAGGTCAGATGAGCATGAGGGTGGAGGACCTTGGGCCTTGGGCCTTGGGCCTTGGGGATCTCTGTCGCTGTTATCCTGTTCTGCTCTAGTATCATGCCCTGGGCCATGCCCTGGACAGTGCCCTGGGCCATGCCCTGCTTCTTCCTGCCTTTCTCCTCCATATGCAACCTTCACCTCGCTTTCCCTCCCCCTCCCCTCCTTTCATTTCCTCCCTCCTCGAAATCCCCTGCGCCTTCCCCCCCCGACCCCCTCTTCCTCCCTTGATGCAGGCGCCGCATCGAAGAAGCAGGCGGCGCGGCTGGCGGCTACACTGCAGCGGTGGCAGGAGCAGGTGCCGTACGGCGTGCCCAGCACGGACCCCTCCGACCCGCGCTTTGAGGCGCTGCGGTACTGGCGCGGGCCCGTGTGGCTCATCATCAACTGGATGGTGTCCAACGGACTCAAGCACTACGGGTGGGTGAGGATGGACGAAGGACCCCTCTTGCCTCTTTGGTGGTGGTTTAGGCGCCTGAGTAATCATTCTATACTAGGGCACACGGGGCAACTGGCGCGGGCCCGTGCGAATCATCATCAACTGGATGGTGTCCAACGGAATCAAGTACTACGGATGGGTGAGGATGAATGAAGGACCCCTCTTGCCCTCTTGGTGGTGGCTTAGGCGCCCGAGTAATCATTCTAAACTTGGGCACATGGGCCAACTGGGGGCCCGCGTGGCTCATCATCAACTGGAAGGTCTCCAACGAGCTCAAGCACTACGGGTGAGCTTCGCTTGGTTGCTGCGTAGGAATCCCAGAAAACACTATGAGGTGCTGCCATCACCAAGGGATGTCATTACGGATGAATGCATATGGTACAATCCCTTGGAAAGGTTATCCCCCAACTTACTCCCATATCGGTATCTCCCTGCTGCTTACTTTCGCGGCCTGACCCTGTGCCTCATCTCCACTGCTCCACCCTCACCACCACTGGTTGAACTGCTATGCTATTCCGTCCTTTGCAGCATGTCGGAGCTTGCTGAGAAGGTGCGCAACAGCTCCCTGCACCTCACGTCGCAAGCGGGCCTGCACGAGTACTTTGACCCGCTCACCGGCGCAGGGGCGGGTGGGGGGAACTTCTCTTGGACCGCCGCCATGTGCCTGGCGTGGCTGGACCGCCCTGCTGCTTCTGCCATTGGCCACCGCATGAGTGGGCCCAAGCGGCCCTCGGAGGTGGCTCTGAATGCCATGGATAGCTCGTCGTGATGGTTGATTGGGAATGCGCAGATGAATCAATGGCGAATGGTTGGATGATGAGCTTGGTTCAGGTGTGGCTTTGGTTATGTTTCTTGTTGCGGTGGGTGGTCTTTGGTGTACTTGCAGCCTGGGTAGGTATAGGGGGGAGTGGGGGGTTGTGCTTGTACATGTTATCTATTGTTGGTTGACTACTCTCAGCTGATTTCTTGGTTGACAGTGAGTGTTTTTTATCTGACTCTGGAATGCTAACCGTAATTCAATAAATCTCTGGCTAAAAACGTTGAACTGTGTGCAATCAAGTAGGGGTGTTTTTGAAAGGAAAGTAACCGTTTCGATATATATAGATTGTACAGTGCATGCTCTATTATACAGACTGAGCCCCCTGACCTGAATCTCTGATCCGACAGACACGCCCTTCCCCCGTTACATTCCTCCCCCATGCACCTCGCACGCACCTCTCATTCATCACATCTGTCGCTCCCTCCGCTCTCCGCCTGCTGGTGCCCTGCTGCTGCTCCTTCCCCCAGTTCCTTTCCAAATTCCCACTGCTGATGCGCTCATTCGTACCATTTGTCTGTAGAATCCATCGTGTAGACGAGGCCTGCGAGCATATACCTACCCAGCTCGAGAGCAAGAGAGAGAGAGAGAGAGAGAGGGAGAGCGCGAGAGGCGTGACGCGCGTTGTCCGCGAGATCGTCGTCTTGTCGGTGTTTCGAACTGATTCCAGCGACCGGATTCCGAGATGTAGAGAGTGCGGGTGGTGCAGGAACGTCGGGTCGGTGCGCAGGAACATCCGAGATTGCTGTAGCTCATGAAATTTCGTGAGTCTTTTGGACTTCTCTGTGACCCCTGGCGCTAGCAGGCACGAGGGCTCAAAGTTTTGGTTAGGAACGAATTGTGCCTCGTGTTGAATAATCGTGGTGCGTGAGGACAATCTCCCCCCTTGAATTCCGCAACTGCGTGGCGTGGGCGGGCTAAGACCCAACGGTTTTTAGACTGGGGCAATTGTGGCGGACGAGTGGATGCAAGGCGACGGCACGATGCGCATTCGATGTCTCCTCCTTCGAATCACCGGCTTGCTGCTTGCCTGTGAGCACGGCGTCCGCTTTAATGCCCGGCTCCTTTATCCTCAGATTCCCCGTCATATCCTCGTGAATTTATATCCCTCTCCTTTCTCCTCCTATTACGCCCCACCTTCAACCCCCCCACCTCCCCTCCCCCCCCTTCTCTTCCCCCCGTTCTCTCCTTCCCCCCTTCCCCCACCCGGTCCCACTGCTCCCCAACACGCACATCCTTGCCGTTCCCCTTCCCCCCTTCTAGTGGGCGCAGCAGCAGCAGCCGCAGCCGCAGCAGAAACCCCAGCAGCAGCAGCGCGAGCGCCGTCCAACGTGACGCTCGAGAGCGTGACGGTGATGAGGGACATGGGCGCCGTGCTGCCGCCCAGCGTCTTCTTCGCGTGCCGGGACGACGCCTCCCACATCGCGCTCCCGCAAGTGCGCAGCACGCTCACCAGATTCGACTTCTCCGGCCACGAGCCCTGGCAGGTAGGCACGTGGCAGGTAGGCACGTGGCAGGTAGGCATGTAGCATGGTGGTGTGGTGGGCAATCCAGCAGAGCAGAGCAGAGCAGAGCAGAGCAGAGCAGAGCAGGGTAATCCAGCACAGGAAATGCATGGAAGGGGAGAGCAGGGAAGATATCATGGCAGAGGAACACAAAAGAGTTCGTAGAGAATTGCCTCTCCACAACCCCTTCTCCCCCCCCTCACGTCTCCCTCCTTCCCTCCTTCCCTCCTTCCCCTCCTCCCCCTCCTCCCCCTCCTCCCCCTCCTCCTCCACTCCTCCTTCCTCGTGGAAAACCTACCTCCCACCCTCCTTCCACCAGCCCGTGACGCAGCTGGGCCACGAGCAGTGCAAGCAGTGCGGCGTGTACGAGCGCATGCTCTTCCTCTTCACCTCCACCGTCGCCGAGTGGACCCTCTGCCCCGCCAACTTCTCTCTGCGGGACCCGCACAGGCCCGCTGCCAGCAGACCGCACACGCGCAGCGAGATCGGCGCATCTGTCACGGGTGGCGTGGCGGTGGTTGACGTGCCGGGGGTGCTCTATGTGTCGCTCGCCTGTGACACCTGTGCGGCTCCCCCGCCTCCTCCTCCTGCCCAACCTGGTCAGTCGCATGGAGTGCCAGCCCCATTGATTGCCGGCCCAATAGATTACTAGCGCCATACATTGCCAGCCCCATACATTGCCATCCCCTTGGATAACAGGAGGTCTTGCTCCCACTGGCTCTCCTCCAGTGGAGGTGAGCCAGTGGGAGCAAGACCTCCTGTTATCCAATGGCACTGGCAATGGATGAATCGGAATCGCAAGTTGCTCCCACTGGCTCTTCCGATTCATCCATTGCTCTCTCAACAACTTGCTGATTCCCATACTGCAGCATCGACCCCCTCATCTTCTCCCCCTCCCCAATCTCACCCCGTCTCCCATATGCGTTTCTTCACTCCAGTAACGCAGTTTGATCCAGCGGTCACGAGTGTCACGGGCTCGTGGGTCACGAGCGTTATCCTCTCCTTCGCCTTCATCGTGGCCCTCGCCATGTGCTGCGTCATCGCGCTCATTCTGCGTCGCCAGCACCGCCGCCGCCAGCCCCATGATGAGATGGAGAAATCCCGATTTCTAGGCCTGCACGGTGGTGACAGCAGCAGCAGCAGCAGCCACCCGGAGCAGAGTCACAATGCACCGTACCTAGACAAGGACACTGAAGGCGGGGATGACGGTGGTTCTGGTGTAGGGGGAGGAGCGGAAGGAGTAGGGGGTAGTGCTGCTGCTGCTGCTGCTGCTGCTGCTGCTGCCGTCGCCGCTGCCGCTGGTGCTGGTTTTGACAATGGCTATAGAGATGATGATCCGTTCATGGGTAATGGCCATGCTACTGCTGAGCTTCACTACCGCAGTTTTGTAGCCGGGAAGTCGGATGAGCATAGAGTGCCTATGATTTAGTGGCTCTCTGAAGCATATGTATGCGCTGCGATAGAGACAAGGGCCCAAGATGGGCCCTGTGTGAACCATTGATGCTTTTGCCTCTTTTTAGCTTCATCTTTGACTTAATCATAACAATAATAAAATAATAATAATAATAATAAAGGAATCATAACAATAGACACTGTACATAAAGAGGCATTTCGCTCTCTGCCTACATTGCCTAGCTGCTGAGGGCTGTCCCTGCAACCTACCTCAGCCCATATACACAAGACACCCTCTAATTTCAGCGCCTGACAGCTTATTTCAGCCTTCCCACATCACACCAACCAACCGCCGTGTCACCCAGCTCTTCCGGGCTCCATCCATAAACAGTACCGGGCAGGTTACCACTTCAGATGCTCTCGCTGCCCGCGCCGTCGCACACGCCCCCGAGACTACCGCGCTCGCTGCTACCAGCGCCCGAGCTGCGCGGCGTGTGCAGCATCTCCTCCGACGCCGATCGCGCCAGACACATCCCCGTCGCTTCCGCCGCCTCGCGCATGCCACTCTCCTCCCCCCCCAGCATCATCCCGCTCATGCTATCCCCCTCCACGGTTCCGCTTCCGCTTCCGCTTCCGCTTCCACTTCCACTTCCTCTTCCGCCGTTCAGCGCTGCCGCCGCTAGGCCCGCCTCCCCGCCCTTCGCCTCCTCCGCGCCCACAGTGTACACCAGATACGTCTTAATCTCCCCAGTCGCGAATCCGTTAAAGCTGGACCCCGCCGCCGCAGTGTACGCGCCCATGTTCGGGAACACCAGCCAATCGCCGATCGCCAGCTCAGGCAGCGCCTCGTCGCGCAGCACCATGTCCAGCCCGTCGCAAGTCGGACCGAACACCGTCGATGGGAAGAACGCTCCGCCCGCCCCCGCCCCCGCCGCGCGCAGAGCTCCGCCGCCTCCGCCGCCCTTCCTGCGCTTCCCCCCGCACTCCGCCTCTGGGGGCAGGCCCTCCCTAACCTCCGCCTTCTCAAACCCGCCGCCGCCGCTGCCGCCGCCGCTCACGTCAATAACCTCAACCTCTCCGCAGTCCAGGCCGCCGTCCGCGGAAGACCCGTCGGACGCGGAAGCGGATGCGCGCGCAAGCGGGTGCGCGCGCAGCGTGGCGTGGTCGTAGAGCGCGCAGTTCATGGAGCCGTACAGCCCGTCGTTGATCCAGTACTCGCGCCGCTCGCCGCGCACGCGCCGCCCGAAGACGCACGCGGCGAGCGTGGAGGGCGTCTCGGCGAAGTACCTGCCCGGCTCCGCGATCACCGCCACGCCGCTCGCCTCCGGGAAGAAGCGGTCGAGCGCCGAGTTGATCGCTGCAAAAGAAAGAAAAAACAAGAGCACGATTAGCGAAGACCATCATGAAATGCACAAAACGGAACCCAGGAATGTATTATGGGAAACGAGGCGAGAAAAGCTGGGTGCACCAGTAGCCACCATGGCATTAAAGACTGGTATTCAGGCAACCCACCGTTAGCAGCCGCGGCGAAAGGCATGCCGCCGGAGCATCCTGTGCCAGGTGCTGTGAACCCGCCACCCACGTCAAGCACCGACATGACAGGCATGTCCGCCGCTCGTGCCACGTCAGCGGCCATGTCGAACACTTGGCGCGCCGCGGCGATGGCGCGGGTGAAGGCAGCGGGGTCGGCCGCGCCGCTTCCGACGTGGAAGGAAACTCCCACCACGTGAAGCTTGAGGCGCGAGGCGACGGCGAGGAGGGACGGCACCTCGTGCATGAGCGCGCCGTACTTGACGCCGAGGTTGCAGCGAGCCGTGGAGTCGTTGGCTTGCAGACGGAGCAGCAGCACGGCGGAGGGATTCAACGCGTGCACCTGCGTTAGCGTCACACAGAAAAGTACCAGTTAGAAGGATATCAAATCCCGGTAAAAAAAACAGAGATCAGGAATCACGTGCAAGAATGAATCACATAGAGCGTCCTGTATTTGTCTGTCGAGCGGTCTTTGGCATGAAACGGACCTTGACAAGCTCGGATTCGGAGTCGAACGTCGTCGCACGGACACCCATTTCCGAGGCGAAGGTGATGTGCGACGGCATCTTGCAGGGGTTGGCGAAAATGATGCTGTCAGGCGACACACCCATGCTCAGAACCTGTCAAGCAAGCGACAATGTCAACGGTCAGAATCTTAGTAGCTAACTACTAAACGTTATAATGACGCGGAATGTTGCAACGACGGCGTAGAAACTTGCACGCATAGAGATATGGCAACCGACCTGAGAAATCTCGGCCTTGCTCGCGCAGTCGAATCCCGCTCCCAGAGCGGCAAGCACGGAGACGAGTAGCGGGGATGGGTTGCACTTCACCGCGTAGAAAGGCTGGACCCGGGGAAAGGCGGCCGTCCAGCCCTGCAAGGAAACAAGAAACAAATAATCGTCTGTCAGAAAATGACTCGCCAATGTCTCAAGCCAATAAGTTATTGATAAGCAAAACGAGATTCGCTTGGAACCGGAGTACCGACCGTAAAAAGACGGACGATCTCGCCGATGTCCATGACGTAAAACGGATCCTCCAGTCGCATCTCCCGAATGAGCCGCTGAATCTCGCCGTCGATCATTCCCGCTCGTCCAGCCGATGGTGGGGACGACTGGAGAACCTGAATGCGTCCCGCTTCCGCCAAGAAGCTTGGCATGACGACGCCGCGACTGTCAGCACTTGATTCGTTCAGTGGAAGCGTCCCTCCTGGCAGCAGCTTGAATCCGTCAGATCCCCGCATGTCATAATGATCCTGATGATCCTGGTGAACAAGGCCGCCACCCGTGTCAAGATCCATGCGTTTCATTTCGTGGTTACCAGTCGCCCAGGGAAGACCCCATTTCGTGACACGCGGCTTTCGTGAGGTGCTGACGCCACTCCCCGGTTTCGCGGAGAGCGACTGAAGCGAGTTGTCGAGAACGACTCCGAGCTCGTAAGAGTCCGAGTGAAGCTTAGGCTTGAAGAGGTTAGCCGACGATAGAAAAGAGCTCTCTACGACCATCGCAGATCCTGCCATATTGACTCCCGAAGCTACTAGCGAGAAAAGCAGTTGAAAGCTCGAACAGGCTGGAGTGTGCACGCACAGAGCGGGTTCTATAAGGCACTGAGTAGGAGAGCTTGTAGTGAGGCAACCGTAAGAAGAACTCGCAACTTGAATTGCGTGAGTAATAATGCGCTGATCAGCCTGAATTTGAACTCTAGACCAGCAAGAGCTCCTAGCGCGAGCGTCTACTATCAGGAGCTATTCTGATGCTGGATGCGAAGTGCAGTAAGCAATGAGGCATGCAGTCTGTTTCTGGCGCGGAAAACGGCGGCTGAGTTTCAGGAATCAGGAGGACGCTGCTGCTGGGAGGTGAGGTGAATCTCGGGAACAGAGCAATGAGAGGGACGAAAGTTGCGGCGAAGTAATGCGAGATGAATCACGCGTCGCGGTAACCATGCTGCACCAGTCTGGGCCACTTGTTTTCGCGTGAGCGGGTGGCGACGACAGCCGTAGCCGCTACGCGCCTCTTCGTGCCAGGATGGGAATTGCCGTCTGCTGACGACGGCGAAACGCAGGGAACAGGTCAAAGCAAAACGCGTTGTCCTATGCTGCATCAAGTCTACATTTCACGAACCGTAATTTGAAACACAATATAAAGACAAACTGAAAGCTTGGTCACAACAAAATCGGAAATGAAAATATGCTAGCCAAGGTGCTAGTAGAATCAAGGAGACATCAGCTTCGTTTTTTGGCGATATAGAAGAAGGGTGCAAGGGCAATATTGCACCATGTAAGCACTCACATTTCCAAGGACAACCCTGCTCAAGCATTAGGAGAAAGTAGGGTGACATGACACTCATGCAGGAAAATGGCAATTAGGGAACAACTAAATACGACCAGCATAATTTAGCACGATTGCCACACCACAAATGCTTACCCGCGAACTGAGCCTGTTCCTCTTGTAGCGACTACCAACAGATCGATATGGTTGCGCTCGCAAAAGTCCACCAGTAACGGACGAGGATCGCCCTCAAGCACATGAGTGGACACCTCAAACGCTGCCCCCTGAGAAGCAAATGACGGACAGGAAAAGGGGCAGGTGGCAGCAAAAGAGTGAGAAAGAGAAAGGAGGGGAAATGGGGGGGTTGGGGGGCGAGGGGGGGGGGGGGGGGTGGCTAGGAGAGTGGGGGAGCAGTGAAATTTGGGGGGAAGAGGAGAGAACATGGGAGGAAGAGAGAAAGGAAGCAAAAAAGGTGCATGACCGTGGCACAGAATCCTTAGGAGGCAGAAGGGGAGGGGACGGGTGGTGTCCCTGAAAGCTGCTGTACCTTTGTCTGCAGCGCAAGGGAGATGAGGGCGTCAAAGTGGGGTCGCATCATTGAGTCGTTGGCCTTCTTTCCATCAGCTGCTAGCATACGGTCTGGTATTGATGTTGGCATACGGATTGGGGGGGGAGGGGACAGAGGGGGGGAGGGGGGAGGTAGTGAGTCTGGTGAGGAAACAGGACGTTGCGCAAGGAGGAAGACGAAACACATGGAACATACCTTGGCTTACCGACTTTTCAAGCAACCGTCCTCCACATAGATTAGTGAGAAGAGGTGCATATTCCATAGCGGAAAGAAGCTTTTCTTCTCTATCCATGGACATATCACCACCCTCAATCCTATTCCCTATTTCCCTATGGGCCCCTATCGACCAGCACACCCTGCATGGCATAGCTGGGTTCTCGATCCGCGTGCAGCAAGTAGAGCCGGTCCTCTGCGCGGCACACGTGGTGCAGCACCCACTTGCACGCCTCGCCGCTCGCCTCGCTCCGGTCCAGCCCGACAGCGATGCGGCGCGGGCGGTTGCACTGCAGGCGCAGCTGCTCCTCCTCTGGCGCCATGCGCACCACCAGCACCGGGCACGGCGCACACACCGCACAGTAGTTGCCCCGGCTGCCCGTCAACATGCTGGGGGGATGGGGAGGGGGGTGGATAAGAAGATGGATGCAGGGAAGGATACGGCTCAGGTGAACGCGTCGGCAATTGAAAAGACGACGAGAATGGTACAAGTAGGCAAAAGGGGCCGGGGGAAGGGCAGGGGTGCAGCTGTAGAGAGAAGGTAGTAACGGAGGGAGGAAAGGGAGGGCGGGGGGGAGAGGGGGAGGTTAACAGTGGGTGAGGTGAGCAACGAGCATGTGCTGCTGTTCATAGAATGGGCTCATCATAGGAGCACTGCACGATGCTCCTCCTAGCAGTGCTCCGCTAGGAGAAGGAATATGGTGGTGGGTGGGTGGGTGGGCGGGTGGGTGGGCGGCTATCATGTGGTGTGGTGTGGGGTGGGGTGGGGTCACCGGTGAGAGGAGAGTTGGCGCCTGCTGCCGAGCACAAGGAGGTCGACGTCCCTATCGGCGCAGATGGACACAATCTTCTCCCGCACGTCACCCTCCACAAACACCCCCTCGCACTGCACCTGTCGCGCCGGCAAGCAGGCAGGCACGCAGGGAGGCACACAGGGAGGGAGGGGAGGGGAGGAGGGCGTTAGTAGAGTAGAGGAAGGTAGACGAGGCGGGGAGGAGAAAGTGGATCAATGGGGCGGGAGCGGAGAGGGGTTGTGTGGTGAGGGAGAGGGGAGCAGCTGACCTGTTTGTCCGTCTCCTGGCACATCTGCCGAGAGCGCTCCATGAGCCCGTCCAGCACCTGGGGAGTCACGGCCACTGGCGACAGAGCGCGCAAGAGAAAACACGCGCAACAGGAGCGGAAGAGAAAACACGCGCAACAGGAGCGGAAGAGAAAACAGGAGGACAGAGGGGAATGAAATGAAGGAAGCAGGCGCGACATCCCGCCCTCCTGACATCCTCCTGCGTGACATCCTCAGCGATTCAGATCGTTCACGTGCAAAAGGATTCGGCATTCTCAAGACACTTGCTGCTGCACTTGCCTTTCTCAAGCGCACTGGGCTCTGTTCTCGTCCTTTCCTTTCTTCCTCATACCTGGCTGCACGGACGGGTCCTGTACGCACAGCAGCAGCACCGTGTCCTCGCCCTCTGACGCCACGTGGCCTATGGTCCACCGTAAGGCTGTGCGCGAGCCACGTGTCTCGTCCATCGCAACCATTATGCGCTTTCTGCGAACCGCGACAGAGTCTGAAGTCGCCATGGCTTTAACGAATGACCGCCAAGGTCAGGGCTTCAAGAGAGAAAAACGTGTCGGATAACAATGTGTCTAAATCTTGTATCAGCAGAAGTCGACACTTGTATGTATATCTTCCCTCCAGATAGAGCAGCTGACTGACGCTTTCGATCTTGCGCAATCCACTCCACACGCACAAGCAGTGTGTGTAAAAGAAGCACAAAATATGGAGTCTTGGTCTCGAGGCACACGAGCAAAGCGACACGCAGGAACAATTTCAAGTAGCGTAGTGAGGACCAAGGTCAGTGACACAAGACAGGGAGAGTTGGCAAGCACGACAGCAGGGCTGCGAGGGATGTCATGGGGCTGGATAGAATACAACTTCATAAGCCCGCTCATAGTACTATTATACATAAGTAAGAAATGCGACAAGGCCAATTTTGTGATAGCACCATGTTGAAATTTATGTATGGAAGGAAGAATACAACCTAACTTTTTCTAATTATTCACTACGGAGTTGACTCAACCTCTACATCGTCCTCTCATTCAGCACGCAGGAGTGCTGAAAAACACGTTTAATATGGATTGCGATAATAGGGAGAAATTAATTGGTGTGTGTAAAAAAGCAAATCAAGTGCAAAACTCATGTAAAACTAATTGATACGTATATACTGTTATGAGATCTTGGGAGTTTCCTTTTGTACCAAGTGATGACTGCACAGAAACGACTTGTTCGGTTTTGTTCAAGGCGGATCGCAGGTTGAGGAGCTTGTGACAATAACCCGTAAAGTTGAGCAGCCAAATGCCACGTCTGCACTCTGCTTGACAACTTTGGTGCCGAGCGACAATGTCGTGGTCGCAGACTTTCGCAATCTTAGGACCATTTTCATCAGAAGTCCTATTGGTCCGCCCCTCCCCAAAACCACCAGCTCGCCGTTCCGTCGCACGCACGTCAAACCCAAGGACCTGTCCGTCTGTCGCGAGCTCTCGTCAGGGGTCGCCAGGGAGCTGGGCAGGCACCACCAACCACTCTGTGATCAGAAGAGCCGCCAACCTCCCGCACTGCCCCATGCTTTCCTCCGCGGCACCTCCTGCAGCACGCGCACGCAAACTGACTTCCGCTGTTGTCTTCCGCCGCAAGGACAGTTTTTTGCGCGGAGCTCAGCGGATGAAGCTGCGTGCGAAGCGTAGCTCTGAGTGCTGCTGGGTGAGGTGCTTTTCGGGTCAGAAGGATCAAATATTTCACTTACACAAAAAGTTACACTTAGGACGCCCTGAAAGCAGAGGAAGGCAGCCGTCTAGGTTCCCCCAAAGCCCAAAGGGAACACTCCCAGCCCGCCCCTCGTGATTTTTGGTCCGCCTGCCCGTTCCCCGCAGTGGCGAGATTCGGGGATCGGGGGAAGCAGGAACGAGGGGGAGGGGGAGCTCTCCTCCGTGCGCCCTCACGCGCGCACCCGACCCAACTCCCGCTCTCCGCTTCGCTCTCCGCTCCGCTCTCCGCTCAAGCTCTCCCCCATGCGCTGGGCCTTCTCCTCTTTCACAACACTCTGGATCGCTGTTCCGCTCTGCCCTGCTTAGCTCTGCTGTGCTCTGCCCTGCTTAGCTCTGCTTTGCTCTGCCCTGATTAGTTCTGCTTTGCTCTGCCCTCTGCTTGTGATGTGACCCCTGAGCCTGTGAGGCAGAGGGTGAAGCTTGTGCTTGCCTTGTTTGACTGGGTTGGTGGTTCATTTGTCCGCCTAACATCCTCGTACACTACGCCTAGTACATCTAGCCCACGAGCACAGGTCCTCTATTATGATTATAACGGGTCCAGAGGTGCAAGCAGTGGGAGGCAGGTCCTCGGGCTCCTAGGCATCCTACAGCTGACCAACCAGCGAATAATAAGAACCCCCCTCGCTCTTAGTTCAAACTAAGCCCGCCTTATTCTTCGTAACCACTAACATTTTCCGCCGGCTGTCCTGCAGCCATACAGCTCACATTCAGATGCAACCCTTTACCTTGGCTGTGCTAGATTATAGAAGCATCTCCTGTACAACCGAGATTGTAAAATCTAACCTAACCCGCGTGTCCGTCAAATGCCGTGCGGTACTTCACCCGTGCGGCGCTGTTGCCTACTAAGGCAACCGCGCTCCATTCTTCCGCCGCGATAGCTGTCCGTAACGCTGGCGCTCCTGGTACACGGCAACCGCATTAATAGTCGTGCACTCTCTTAGTGCTCTTCAGTAACCTGTCGCCGGGTTTCTCGGCTACCTCCGGTTTCCGATACGCTTTCCTGCTACTGGTCACCTTTTTAGCGTCGTAAAGTTCAAAACAAGGCACCTTTTGCACATTAACGGCCAAGGACAGAGCTGTAGTCTGATCTTATCTATTTGAAACTCTTCCTGACTCTTCCTCTTCGTGTGCGTCAAAGGAATTGGTTAAACCGTCCGTACCGCTGCGTCACCATGGGGGCGATGACGTCATCTTTAGCGGCGAAATTCGCCTTTTTTCCGCCAACCCCGCCGTCATACGCGATCGTGAAAGACCCGAGCACTGGACGGCTGCGATTCGACAGCATCGCGCCGCAGGACCACGTGGACGTGCTGCTGATTGACACGCGGCGGAGACAGCAGGTGGCGGCGATGTTCGTCCGCAATCCCCGCGCGCGACTGACGCTGCTGTACTCGCACGGCAATGCGGCTGACCTGGGACAGATGCATGACCTCTACGTGGAGCTCGCGCACATGCTGCGAGTTAATCTCATGGGGTGAGCCTCGAGACCTCCCCCCCCCCCTCCCCTCCCCTCCCCTCCCCCCACGCCTTCCCTTTCCCCGTTCCCCGTCCTTCCTTATCTCTCTCTCCCTCGGTCCTGCTGTCCTACTCTCGTGGTAAAATGATGTGGTTTTGCAAGTATCAATTGTGCAGCTGGAACCCTCATCTCACACCCCCGTCTCTTTCATCTGGAGCCTATGCTTCCTTAAGAGGTCCAATTTACTTTCTGTCTACAAGTCCTCTTGTCCATTCTTGTGCTTTTTAACCGCTTCTCACCTCCCTCCCCCATTTGACCCTCCCTTTGCCGTCCCCATTCCCCTCCCGACATCCTGTCCTTTCCCGTTTCTTAGGTCCCTCCTTTGTATCCCCCCCTACCCCTCGTCTCCCCTCCCTCTATGCTTCACTTGCCCTCTCTCTTCTCTCCTTTCCCCCTCTTACATCCTCAATCTTCCGTCGACTCTCTTCCCATCACACGTTTTGCCACACCAGGTACGACTACACGGGGTACGGCGCCTCTACTGGCAAGGTACGTTCTTTCCGGCAAGGTACGATGGTACTTTACACGGGGGGGAGTAACAGAAGCACGGGTGCGCTTGCTGTTAAGGTATATTCGCTGCCCTTTAACCGGGTACTGCTCTTTCAGCCTCCATTGTGTTATCCGTTGGACAGCTGTTTGCGACTTCTTCCCCGATTCTCTTCTGACCGCCTCGATTCTCTTCTGACCGCCTCGATTCTCTTCTGACCGCCTCGATTCTCTTCTGACCGCCTCGATTCTCTTCTGGCCGCCTCGATTCTCTTCTGACCGCCTATATTCTTTCCTATTCGCCGTCATCCTCGTCCTCTCAAGCCATGTTTGGGCGCGTCACGCCAACGCGTGGATCGTGAGCACCCACCGGCGATTCTCCGCGTTCCCGCCTGCTGCCCCGCCCTGCTCAACCCCTCTCCGCCCCTCTCCCTTTCCTCCCCCTCCCCCCATTCCCTTTTCCCCCTTCTCTCCCCCTTCCCTCCACCCCCCCCCTCCCCCCTCCTTCCCCTTTCCCTTCCGCAGCCGTCGGAGGCGGACACGTACGCGGACGTGGAGGCGGTGATGACGTGTCTGCAGCAGCGATACAGCATCGGCGCGGAGCAGGTGGTGCTGTACGGGCAGAGCGTGGGCAGCGGGCCGACGGTGGACCTGGCGTCGCGCACGCCAACGTGCGCGGCGTGGTGCTCACAGCCCCATCGCGTCGGGCGTGCGCGTGCTGTACGAGGTCAAGCACACCTACTGGTTCGACATCTTCCCGGTATGCTGTCGCGTCTGCTTCTGTGCTGTGTCTGTGCCTGTGCCTGTGCCTGTGGGTCTGTCTCTGTGTCGGCGGATTGGGGTGGATTGATGGCGTGTGTGTGTGTGTGTGTGTGTTGTGTGTGTGCGCGCGCGAGTGTGTGTGTGCGTGTGTGTGTGTGTGTGTGTGCGTGTGTGTGTGTGTGCGTGTGTGTGTGTGTGCGTGTGTTGTGCGTGTGTGTGTGTGCGTGTGTGCGCGTGTGTGTGAACATGTTTGCGTTCTGTGTCGCGTGTGTCATGCCATGTGTGGTTGACCGTACTGGGCGCGCACATGTGCGCTGCGTCAAGTACTGTGAACAGACCGGGCTGGGCATCTCGTGGGAACGAAGAACAGGGAGGCGGATCAAGCTGATGCGCGCAAGAGCGAACGGAAAGCGAACAATTTGACGAACGCAACGCACAGATCAAAGCGGAGTTTTATCCCACGACGATGGGTTAACTCAGAAGAGCGGGAATGGGGGAAGGGGGAATCAGGGAAGGTGGGAAGGCGGGAAGGAGGGAAGGTGGGAAGGTTGGAAGGAGGGGGGCAAGTGCTTAGCAAGGTCGAGAACCTTGTCGCAGCAAGATGCGTTTTTTTCATCATGCCCGCGCTCTGTGCTGTGTCTGCCACCTGCTGTGCGCTGCCGTGTCTTCCCCGCCCGCTTCCCTCCCTCCCTCCGTGCGTCTACGTGCACAGAACATTGACAAGCTGCCGAAAGTGGAGTGTCCAGTCTTCGTCATGCATGTAAGTCTTTGTTACGCTCGCCCGCTCGCCGCCCCTCGCTCGTTTCTTCCTCCTAGACTCATTGCCTTGCCCATCTACTTGTCGGTTGTCCGTCGGTCGTTCATAAGACACAGTGAACCCGAGAAAACACATCCAAAGGAACTGTCTGGTATATGCTGGTGCGCAGTTGTTGTAAAAACCCCTCACACTTCCGTTCTCCCTCCTGCCGTCCCTCCTCCTTTCCCTTTCTCCTCCAATCCGATCCCGTTCGCTCGCCCCTGTCCCCCTGATCCTTCCCTGTCTCCCCCCCCCTGTCCCCTTCGCCCCCCTGATGCACGTCGGACGAAATGCTGGTGAGTGCTTGCAATCCAACGCACGCCTCATGTGCCACCTCTCGCTCCTCCCGTTTCACCCTCAACTCCCCCCTCGCCCTCCACCCCCCCCCCTCCCCACACGGCCGCAACGGACGAGGCGAGGGATGTGTCGCACGGGCAGATCCTGGTGGACGCGTGCAACCAAATGCATGCCTCACACGCCACTTTCCGCACTCTTCCCTCCCCCCAACCCCGTCTCCCTCCCCGCCTTCCCCAACTCTTCCTCCCCCCCCCCCTTCCCCCCAGGGCACGTCGGACGAGGTGGTGGATGTGTCGCACGGGCAGATGCTGGTGGACGCGTGCAAGCGGCCGTTTGAACCGCTGTTCCTGGAGGGCGGGCACCACTGCGACCTGGAGTTCTTCCCCGAGTACCTGCGCTGCCTGCGCAAATACATCTCCTACCTCGTGCAGCACCCCCCCGTGCCACAGCCTGACCTGCCCAGGAAAGCCAAGAAGGTGAGGAACTGAATTGAGCTGTACTGAATTGAATCGAACTGAACTGAATGAATTGAATTGAATCAATTACTGAATGAATTGAATTGATTAAATTGAACTGAATGAATTGAATAGAATGAATTGAACTGAATGAATTGAACTAAGCTGACCGTCCTTTCCACAAGCACCACCTCCGTTGCCCACCCCTTCCAGCCGCCCTCCTCCCTCCACTTCTCTTTTGCCGTTCCCCTTTCACAACGCTCTTCCCCACCCATCCCCCTCCCCCTCCCCCGCCACGTTTCCACCCCTCGCCCGTTCTCCCCAGCGCCCTGGCTGGGGAACCCCCCTGACAGCCATCCGGTCCTTCGTGACCCCCAACCGCCACCGCCACCCCTCCGGCACCGCCTCTGCTCCCGCCACGCCCGTGGGCTCCTTCTCCTCCTCCTCCTCCGCCTCGCCCCACCTCCAACGGGAACGCGTCCCCTGCTGCTTCCCTCTCTGCCGACGACTCCTCCTCGTCCTCTGCGGCTCCCAACCCGCGCACGCGGTCGTGGAAGCTCAGGGCGCTGTCACCTGCGTTTCGGTTCTCCCCGTCCACGTGGCGGGATGCACGGAGGAAGAAGGGCGAGGAGGGAGGAGAGGAGGGGCAAGGGCGGAGCAGGAGGCGCTAGGAGTAGCAGGAGTGTCGCAGGGTAAAGCGCCTGGTGGTGCAGCCAGTGCTGCTGCTGCTTCGGCTGCTGCTGCTGTGGCAGCTCCTGCTGTGAATGGTCAGGCAGGTGAAGGAAATTCGTCAGCAGCAGCTGCTGCTGGTGGTGTTGCGAATACAGGGCACACAGTAGCAGCGCCGGAAGTTGCTGCAATGGCTGGGGAAGTGGGGTCCAGCCAATGAGGAGACCATTGGGAGTCAGTCTGTTGAGGGCGGCTGGGCGGCTGGGTGGCTGGATTGGTTTGGTGTCGAGTTTGTGAGGTGGATTGCTGTTGGGGAAGCCAGAAGCCAGAAGTAAGAAGCAAGAAGTCTGACTGGCTGATACGCAGAGGGGGACGGGGGTGTCTCTCCACTCCCTGCGACAATGGGTTTCCGGGTTTTATGGGTTGGAGGGGAGGAGGGTTGCTTACATGTGATGAGGGGAGAGAGCCCCACGCAGCCTGTGCTGTGCAGACGGAATGTCAAGAGTAGTGGCGCTGCTTGGTGCCTGGCCGTGACCCTTCTCTGCTTGACCTCTCTGGCTGGTTGGACTGTTCCGTGTTGTGTGTAACGCTGTGTCTTGTTGGTTTGTTCTGTTTGTGTGTTTTCTGTTGGGCGTGTGGCTCTGGCTCTGGCCCTGGCAATGCCCTGGTGTTGCATTGCGACCGGCTGAAGGTTGGATGACTGCTGCTAGACTCGCCGGCAGATGGGCTGGGAGGGGTAGGGAGGAGACCTGGGCGAGAAACCTGGGAGTGCTAAAATAGACTGCTGCTGGCATTTAAGCGTTTCCTTGGGGGTTACAGGCTCCTCCCCTGCCCCACTCTTGACTCACTCACCTGCTCTTCTCACCTCTCACGCTCCCTCCGTCAATCCCTCCCTCCCTTGCTACCTGCTCTACCCTGTCCTTCCATCCACCCACATCTCAGTTCCCTCCCTCTGATGCTGCCTTTACTCCATTTTTCTTTGGGAATTTGGTTTCTTAAAGCGAGCTTACCCGAAGTTCAGCAGCCAGCATCCTCAGAGCATGGCGCCTCAGCCATTCACCACCACTATGTAGTGCCTGGGATTTTAATTCATACTGGGATCCCTTGTACACTGGATTGTCAGTTTGGAGCTATTTGTTGTGCATCTTGGGGATGCAGAAGCACACTTGCTCATCGCCTTGTTGCGAAGTGCCTGAACCGCTGATATCTGCGTCCATAACGTACTATTGTTGTCAATGTCATGGATGCTTGGAATCTCCTTCCAATCTGGTTTCGCTGACTAGTACAGTTACTGCAGCCGACGTGTCGCTAGCCTCTGTAACTCGTCGGTCTTGTAACGGGTACACTCGGCTTGCTGTCGCTTCCCCTCCGCAGCCTTTCCAGACTGCTCTCCTCCAGCCATGTCCGATCAGTTTGCCTCGATACACTAGCTCGGCGCTGCCCTGCTCTGCTCTGTGGTGTTTCAAGTTCGGACCGTTGGCGCTTTTAGGGGCGTGCCAGCAGTCGTTCGTTTCCCGCCTTTGGCACCATGTCTATTCACGTCCGCGTCGCGGCGTGCTCGCGAGTGGCCGAGGGTCAGCGCCACGCACTCCGTTCCACGGATGCGTCCCGCAGCACTGTGCATGCGAGCCTCGCGGTCGCACACCGGTTGAATCGCATCGTAGGCGGAAGGGCAATCCATAGCAGCAGCAGCAGCAGCAGCTTTAGAAATGCGGGCGGGAGCGGCTGCAGCGGAGCGGGCCTCTCAGCGGCCGCCACGTGGCCTGGGTCACAACATCCTCCAGCTGCCCGCTTCGGATCATCTTCACCTGTTCGCTCCGAAGGCACGCGCAGGCATGATCGATTGCCGCTGCAGCGAGCAGTCTCGGTGCGTCGTGCGTCGCTTCCGTCAGGGGAACGGCTTACAGCCAGGGTACGCAATGTCCTTTCACTCAGGGTACGCAATGCCCTTTCGCTCAGGGTACGCAATGCCCTTTCACTCCATTTGATATGAGTCGACTCAAAACGAAACTCATATCACACGCTCCCGTCAGGAGAAGGGTTTACAGCCAGGGTGCACAATGCCCTTTTACTCCACCCACGCACGTGCACGCTGTGACCTGCTTTTCCGATGGGTGTAAATTTCCAACAGATGGGTCGAGTTGTGCACCCTGGATGTTCAGGGCGTGTTGTGGAGTGGCGTTTGGGGAAGGGAGAAGGGGGGAGGCGGTAAGCTGTGTGCTCGGAGAATAGTAATGATAAGGGAACGGGTGAGTATGCTGGTGGATGCGAGTGGTTGTGTGTGTTGTTTTAGAGATTGTGGATGATGTCTCACAGAGAGTGAGGGTGGGTGGTGTGCCGGTGTGGAAGGGGGGAGGGAGGGATCTGATGGAAGTGTCGTTGCATGTGGTCCAATACAAGAAAACGGAGACACACGCGTGCTCTGTCTCGTCGCACCTTCCTTACAAGCCCATTGCAGCTCGCCATAATCTCGCTCCTATTTCCCCCTGCCTCCTATGTTCCGTCTCCCCTCCCTCTCCTCCCACAGCCTTCAATCCGAATCACCTGTGGCTTCAGCAGCGGCAGGAGTGGCATAGGGAAGAACCCAAGCCCCGGCAACAAGCCAGGCAAACGCCCATCTTCCTCCTCCCCAGCTCCCTCCCCCACTTCCCCCTCCTCCTCCGCCGCCTCCTCCTCTCCACTCAATCCCCTTCAGCAAGTCCTAGCCAGCGTCTCGCAACAAGCCCAGGCAGTCCTCCCTCCCCCAGTCACAGCCTTCCCCTGGGCGTCCCTCCTCTCGTCTGTCCTTGCGCGCATGCACGCCCTTCTCTCTCTATCCTTCTCGCTCCTCCTTCTGCCGTACCTCCTCTCATCATCCCTAGGCGAGCTCGCCTTTGCTCTCAGGCAGGGTCAGGTGCTGCTGGCGGGGACAGCGGCGGTAGCAGCCAGTGTGGGGTGCTATTGGGTGGCGGAGGAGGCCGGGAAGGAGCAGGGCGTGCTGGTGAAGAGGGGAGGGGCTGTTGGCCGGGCTCTTGCGCTTGTGGCTCGGGTCAGTGCTGGTGTGGGTTTGAGTCAGGTGGCTTGGTTGGTTGGCTCCTATTCTCATTTGTGTATGCCGAGTTCCACATCGGTTTATGGTCTTCACTGGTGTAATATGCATGTGCGGGGTTTGCTCTCGTAGTGGCCTCTCACCCTTTTCCTTTCTTTCCACCATTCATGTGTACCTAATATCGTAGCTTGGCCCCATGCTTCTCCGTGCTTGTGCCTGTGTTTCCTTTGTTCAGGACTCCACCAATTTACTGATGCTCATTGCTGTCGTTTGTGCGCTCCTCAAGGCCTCAGCACCCACCCTTCCTTTCTTCGTGTCATCGTACCATTTCTTGCTAATGGTAGTTTGGCTGCCGTTTTCGTGCGGTTAGTTTTGCGGCGTGCAGAAGTCAGCTTTTAGGTGTTCCTTACGTTATGACTCAACTGTAGAATAGAAACGCTTGATGAGCATAGCGCATTTCCCTTCTCAGACTAACTGG